AGTCAGTAAAATTTTCAACAATCTTTTATAACCTACATATATGCATTACATGGATGATAAATAGCTAATATAACCAATTCAATTTTTAATTTTTATTGCGTCTACCTAGTTATTATGTATTAATTTGTGTTTTAAATATCTTATTAAATAACTTATTAATTTTATACAAATATAAAGATGTAGCATTTCTTCACAAGCAAGTCAGTTACCTACTAGACCTCTGGTACCGGTTCTTTTTTATTTAAATAATTACTGTCTATATATAGATTAATTATTATTGCTTATTAGTTTGATCATTTATTTTATTTCAATTATTTATGAATATTATTACATAAATTAACTATAATATATATAATTTTTTGAAATATTATGCTTTCGAAAATAAATTATAAATGCGATTGCAATAAATTAAAATTATAGGTTATTTACCTATAAGGCTATAACCTTTCGTACCTACATACAAAATAATAACTGTAAAATGTTGAAAAAATAAGAACTCCTGTCCGCCTGTGTGTATGTTTTAGGTAAGTACAATATTTATATATATAAACATATATACGAGTAATTACAAATCAGTAAATTTGTCATAACCGCACACATTGCAGGGTGTTCACTATAATCAGAATAGACAGTTTACCATTTGGTGTACATTTTTTTTTACGTATACCTACAAGGTTATAACTTTGTAATCTCTGTGGTATAGATATTTGGTGAAAAATAAAAGTTATAAATGACTAATTAGTAATCACTAATGCCTAATATAACAATAAAATATGTTTTATACTAAATTAATCGTTTCCTATGACATCTAACGTTGGATTTGAAACAAATTTCCAGTTACAAATTAAAATTATGTCTTATGAGTTATGACGTTCTCAATTGTAAGTTGYAATGGGCATTTCTATATTAATTATACAAAAATATCTATTTTAAAAACATGCCTATTGGTTATAATTATAAAATTATAATTTATTACTCTACGTTAAGCAACTTGAAAAACAACGCGGTGCGTATATATATAAATAATATATATAATTATTATACATAATATTCAATCTCGGGAATTTATTCATTTTGCGCTCAGAAATACAATAATATGTGTTAACAATACTTGGGTATTATATTTTTCGTGAAAAAATTTATTTTAAGCATTGAAAGTAAATTTAAGCACCAAAATAATATTTAAAATAACTTACTTCAAACATCGACTTTTTTGGATTTTCTGGGATCTGTGCCGTGTGTGTGTGCACTGCGACGCGCCGACGCCTACGCCGACGTATGAAAAAAAAATACTAACACTTTAGAAACTTTAATCTGAAAGTGGTGTTATTTGTGAAAAATATAATCGAACGTAATGCAGTGTGTATTTTGTTTATGTCCGCTTTGCGAATTGAAATTTTAGAATCTTTAATCGACTACGTCTTCTGCCATGACTTTGACAATCACCATAGATTGTATTATATTATTACGTCAATATGATAATATCCAAAGATATATTTAACATAATATTATAATACAATTTTTAAATACCAAAGAGGTTCATATTTATGAATATTGTTTATTTAAATAATTAAATGTGAATATGTGATATAACAATAACCAAAAAAGTTTATAATTTTAAATTTAAATTATAAAAATATATACTTATGACATTATTTTTCTTAATTTATTTAATTGATTATTGATTCAGATGGTGTTTAGATATTAGAAGCATAACCATGAATCATATGAATCATTAAATAAAACTTTAATAGTAAATAAATGTGATTTATACTAACCATAAAAGTATATAGCAGTGAATACATCAAATTTACCGTACCGGCTCTACCAACTATAGTTTGTAAAATACCCACTTAAACAGCCGAGCGTGAAATTAATAATCAATATTTAATATAATAATTTTAATTATATAAAGTATGTATATATTATATTTTTAACTTTAAGCCCTATTCAAGAATATTTAAAATTTAAGACTTCCTTAGTTCATTTCCAATAGATATTAATTAAAATATTTTTTGTAAAATTCTTKTAAATGCAATATAAGGTTCCTCATAATATGTTTGTTTATTATTAGTTTTAATGTATAATGCAGTTTTAAACTATTAAAATTAAGTTTTTTTAAAACTTTTATTAACTACCTAGTACTTTCTGTGCACTTTACGATTTATCATGAATATTTTTTTAATAGGCTTATAATGTAGTATGAATAATTTTAAAAATATTGAATTAAAAATTGAAGCAAATATTTGAAAAAAAATTCAAGTACCTATGGTTAATAGTATTTTTTTTTTTAAATAATTACCAAATAAGAAAATCTTAGTATGAGAATTTTTTAATTTGCCATTTGCTGGTGATTATTCAAATTTCGAAATTATCTTATGCCTTAAAATGCCATCATATTAAGACACCTATCATATTTCGATTTAGATGATAAATTACTATACAACGATTTAAAAATACTAACTTTTTCAATGATTAATTTTGTTATTTTATACAAAATTTAGTCTGATTGCACTCATCACTTATGTTAGATATAATATAATATATTGAATTAGTTATTATCATCAGTGAAGGATATTGAATTTTACTATTTTAATATATTATTATATATATTTTTTAATTTTAATACATTGGGTTAGGTTAATTATTGTAAATTATTGTGTGTCTATAAAGCATATCCATTAAAATTATATTTACATATCAAATTCCAATACCAATATGCATATTGTTGTTGTGTGTAGATACTGTAGATATTTATACACCCTAAAATCTTATTATCTAAATATGCATGTAGTTATTTCCTATAAAATGAAAAAAATTAAAATGTAAGGTACATAAAAAGTGGGGAAATATGCATGTTACAACTTAATCAGTGTAAACATTTATTTTATATATAAAGTCATATTTAAATACATCTTTTCAATCAGTTAAATATAGTTTTAAAATTGAATGCAGTTTAATGCTAGCAGTGTATTTGGTAGAGGGATGTCTTCTATGTCTGCAGTAAACCAAATGACTTTAAAAAAAACCCCCCTAAATGTTGGTATTATCATTTACTTTATAATTAAAATTGTTTTTTTGGTATATGTATATTYATTKAATGYGSKAMACCCTCYGAKAAATCACCCAAAATACACTAATGGCATCATACATTTTTTCTAAAATGTGAATCTGAATTTGAAATAATGTTGAGTTTTTTTTACATAAGAAGTTATCTAATAAACAACAGTAAAAATATTGTTYAAAATATTTTTATTATTTTCATTATACACACGATTTGAAACCCTACATTTAACAGAATGTGCACATGCTGTATGTAATATACATATTATGTTTATGATTTATCCATAGACATTTTCAGGTAGATTTAATGGAAATATAATAATTAATAAAAATAATATTAAACACAAAACACTCATTCCATCAGAACTTTTTTATAAGCTATGAATAAAAATAATTCAGTATTTTTTTTTTATTTTGCAACTAACATACAGTATTACATTATTAAATATTAGTTCCTAAATGAATAGGTATTTTTTTATTAACATTTATTTCTAAGAAACGAAATTTTCACCACATAAAAAGCAGCATTTTGTCGTTTTTATTTTTTCGATATCACTTATACAAAAAGAGTTCTTATTGTTTCATAATACATTATTTTTGTGTTGTTTAAGCAAGAATAACTTTTTTTGTATAGTTTTTATATTGCAAAAATTAAAACGTTATTGCACAGATAAAATTCTCTTTTTATATGGTGAAAATTTTGTTTCTTAGTTATAACTGTAGTTTTCTCTTTTCTAATTTATGGTATAGCCAGTGGCGTATTTTGGGTGATTTATCGGAGGGTTTCGCGCATTCAATGAATATACATATACCAAAAAAACAATTTTAATTATAAAGTAAATGATAATACCAATATTTAGGGGTTTTTTTTTAAAGTCATTTGGTGTACTGCAGACATAGAAGACATCCCTCTATCAAATACACCACTAGCATTAAACTGCATTCAATTTTAAAACTATATTTAACTGATTGAGAAGATGTATTTACATATGACTTTATATATAAAATAAATGTTTACACTGATTAAGTTGTAACATGCATATTTCCCCACTTTTTATGTACCTTACATTTTAATTTTTTTCATTTTATAGGACATAACACGGAAAGACGGGGACAACACATGCGGGTTTGGCGTCCTCTTAATAATATTAAATTAAAGCATAATATTTATGACGTACGTCAGTAAATAACATTGGGTTACCTCCACCATCTAAGCCATCAATGACGACTGGTATGTCAGCATTTAGTGATAAAGTTCAAAAGATGGCCAAAAGGCTCCTCTCTTAAGGGCGGGTCCGGCATAAAGGCACCAAAAAAGTATGGATGCATTATACCAAATACAGAAGAAATAATGAAGTCCGTCGTGCTGAAGCCACTTGAACAGAGGATAGCTGGAAACCGGGTTTTAAAAAATTAATTAACTTTACTCTCAATCCGAATAGTAAAATACAGTTTATCAATTTTTCAAAATTAAAGAATTGGCTGTTTTCCAACCATCTATTAAATTGTAATTCAATACATTACTCTCGATTCTTAAAGAATTTATCAACTTTATTTTATAATACGAATTGACAGAGACGTTGATTAATTCTTTAAAACCCGTTTTCCAAGTCATCCTCTGTTCGGGTGGTTTCAGTACGACGAACTTTAGTATTTCTTCTATAATTGGTATGCATCCATACATTTTTGGTGCCTTTTGGTCAGCGCACCCTCGAGAGAGGAGCCTTTGGCCGTCTTTTGAACTTTATCACTAAATGCTGGCATACCGGTTGTCATTGAGGGKGGTGGAGGTAATCTAATGTTATTTACCGACGTGTGTCATATATATTATGCTTTAATGTAATAATTAATACGTTACTCTCGGTTTTGTAGAATTTATCAAATTTATTTTATAAACGAATTGAGAATATTGAGATAGATAGATGTTGATTAATTTTTTAAACACGTTTTCCAGCCACCCTCTGTCCAGGTGGTTTCAGTACGACGGACTTTAGTATTTCTTCTGTAATTGGTATGCGTCCATACATTTTTGGTGTCTTTGTGTTCGGCCAGCCCTCGAGAGAGGAGCCTTTGGCCGTCTCTCGAACTTCATCCCTAAACGCAGGCATACCGGTTGTCATCATTGGAGTAGGTGGTGGTGGTGGTGGTGGTGGTAGCGTAGGCGGTGGAGGTAACGTACAATCTTTTGTTTTCGAGGGTGGTGGAGGTGGAGGTGGAGGTGGTGGCCTAGGAACTTCATTTGCCGAAGACGATTTTGTTGGTATAAATGCCGAACACGTTGGCGTGTTTAGTTGATGGCAAGAATGCGTGTTTGGTGAGTTTTGAGTGATTCGGATTGAAATTCGATTCTTCGATTCTCCTAGATGAATGTTAGGTTAAAAAATAATGTTTAATACTATTGTAGGTAAGTCGATATATTATATATTATAATATTACTTTTTATGGACACCAGTTCTTTTCTGAATAATTCCATTGTTTCTAATGTGAAAATATTTTTAATTAAAGTACAATAAATATTTAATATATTTTAATTATATGAAAAACTAACCTTCTATAGATTTCAATCTTTGCTCTATAATAATTTGATTTGAATCCTTTTTGATTATTTTAATACTTCTTAGTGACTCTGCATCATAAAATACGTCCTCATCCTATCAATGTAAATAGGTATATTGTTAGGTACTATTTAGTTGCACAACGTAGGTAATCATGTATCACATTAAACATTATACTTTTAAACTTTAAATAATATAATATTTACCTATACCAACCTAGTTTATTGTATTTAAATATAATGAATCACATATTATACTAGCTGAACCCGTAGCCCGTTAAAAATCGTACTTCTAATATGTCTCAAATTGTGTGTTAAATTCGTTACCTGTGATTATACTAGCAATATATTTTTATATATATAGATGGATAACGGTTAAAATATACTAAGTAATAATCTAACAACGATAATTAATTTAGATTATCATTATGTAAATTTATTCGTTATATTAAGAAGTCTAACAATTCAAATATTCAAGTGAATGATATTTAGGACGCCACCTTTTAATAAGTTAAGATAGGCAAGGACCATCTTTTACACATAGGTCTAATAATCTCTGTACCAAATTTAGTCTCAATCCGTCCAGCCGTTTAGAAATGCATAAAGGACAGACAAACAGACAGATAGACAGGAATTCACGATTTAATCGCCCTCATAGGTACATTCAACCGGTTTTTAAATACTATTATTGCATTGCTTCTTCAATCAAGGCAACCAAACCTTCCTATGTTTCCCTCTGTTTATTGTGCTTATTGTAAAAATATTTGATACAGATCGTAGAAATTAAAATAAACATGACGAAAAATGATATTTTATTTACCTCTAAATCCTCAATTATTTGATCCTCGTGATTATTTTTTGATCGGTTCTTCTTCTTGGTTAAATAACAACTTAGCATGCCTGCCATGCCTATAACGCCAAATATAAGTCCAAATAACGATTCTTTTGACATTTTCCAATACAACTTTAGACAMACAATGTATTTATAAAAACTATATTTGTAAATGAACAAATTAATAAACGATCTATTTATTTGTAACTATGCATATATTATAATATTTATTCCTTCCCAGCGTTTCCTGGGCAATGATTTGTTTATGTTAAATGTATAAGTATACCACGCACTGTAAGTGTTAACAATTTGAAAACTTCGCAAAATATTTATTTCATTACCAAAATTCATCTTAATACAAGTCCATCCAACCAAAATATTTAGTGTTACCTTAAATCGTGATCACAGTATCACACTGTATATTGGTACAAATCACATACGTACTTATATAAATGTTAATGATAGTGAAATTACAAGTAATAAAATTGGTGCAAAACATCATCTCTCTACCACTTCAACTTTTCGTGGTCGCCTATTATAACCTCAATGTACCCAAATTGCCTGTACACGGCAATGATACAAAAAATAATATTATTATTTATTATTATTATCGTGTTAATATTATTTGTATACTAAAAAAATATTGGGAACAATATATTATATTTCTATTACATACCAAACGGAAAAACTTACATCATATTATAGTTGTGCATTTAAGAATAAAAACCAGTGGATTAGATGTGAACAAAGTGAATGAAAAATCATTTTAGACTGTTAAAATTAACAGTCTAGATGCACTATATCAATTCCAGAATACGAAAACTAAAAAAAAAGAATTCTTAGAAAGAACACTTACAAATTTTAAAAATAATGAAATATATCAGTTAGTGGATACGTTAAACACATAAGTTTTTTATTAAAAAAAAAAATAATAATAGATTTATACATTTTTACATTTTTATACACTTTTTTGTGTCCTATGGTAATGCTAAATGGTTCTCAAAAATATTATAAGAAAATTATAATATGTATGAATAACTATGACTTTAAGTTTGGGCATACCTATACATAATGTATTATTGTAGTATATAAAATATATATATATATAGTATATACACATTATTGTTTGATTTATAACCATAATTTTTTTTTATCATTTGTAAAATTAAAAATTAATTCTAAAAACTAAATTTCAGGGTTCTTAAAACTGAAAATCAATAAAATTATTTCAGTTTGCGTTCACAGGGTTAGGTAATACGTAGGAATAATTTACATTTTTATGGATTTAACCATAAAATAAGTAATTTTATTTGAACTTTATTTACCAAAAACCAAAAAACTAATAATAAAACTGTTTGAAACACATTTGTTTTGAATTTATTAAATTTTGATACTATAAAATATCAATGGAATATTGATATTCAATGAGATGAAATAATTTTATAAATATTTATCATAACTTTAAAACAAAATATTGTTAATTATAAACATTTAATATGGTAACAACATATTTTTACTATTTAAATAATTAATTCTGTGGACTTTTAACTTTTGGTGGCTGATCTGCACACCGAGTACTTGCGTTAGAAAAAGAAACCATGATGTCGGTCCAGTCGAAYTTCAGATATAATTGTCATAATAAATTGCCACACGTTTTAATAATATTTTGATAAAGTTTAAATAATGTATTTTCCAATAGATCCCTTTGTGTTTGAATAAATTACCAACAAAGCTTAACGTTTTAGAAAATGTTCGATGTATTCAACCGTTTTCATGCCGTTGGCATTTTGATAATTTCGCACTATTATATAATATAACCCACCTATACTATTTTAAAGTGTTGCTTTATAAAACYGTAAAATATTATATAAAAAACTCCGTCATCTGGTCTCTATAATGCTATAWGCCTGCAAATTGCAATAGATGTAGAGTATACTATAATATTGTAATGTATTGTTTTGCAATCAAAAMGACGGATCAAATGGAATCCAAGAACGTTATTCGTTCCAATCAAACCTGCAGAACGAATGAACGAAACGTAGTTTTTGCTCAGCTTATGATGTGGTATCAAAATATAMTCGATCGATTTTAATTTAATGATTCAAGGATGGTGTTGATAATAGATTGAAACAGTAAATTATTTTATGTTGGCGTACCGGCTATTAATAATATTAAAATTATAACAATTACGTATTATGTTTATTTATKTTTGCAATTGATTGCACGTAAGACAAAAAAATTACTCATTAGTCATTACTAGGGCTAGGATTTATATGCAATAAAAAATTGTAAAATATGCATTTTATTTACCAAAATATTCAAAAACAAATTTTTATTATTATTTATTATAATTCATAATTTATTATTTTTACTTATTATTAGCTCATATTATTACATTAAATATTAGTTTAATTAGATTTAACTTGGCACTTTTACTTTGAACTTTTGGCATACTGGTCACTGTTATTAAAACCATTCAAATTATTAAGTATAAACGTCCGCACATTTACGCAACACACGACGTACTAATACAATCATTCTGTGCTGTCTCACTGTATAACAATGTGTAAGTAATTCTACCAGTCATCCGACCAACGATAAGGTAACGAACGGATATTATCCGACCTAAGATAAAATAGGTAATATTTATGCTAAATATATTTACGAAAATTCAACGGATAAACCAAAAACTGTCGGTTTCGTGAAGTACCATTTAAAACTAACAATCTATATATATAAAACTGAAATCAAGCAAAAGAGGAAATCTTTGTTACGGTTTGGCTTCGAAACTACTTATTGGATCGTCTGGCAATTTTTTTTAAATTAAAGAGGACATCACAGAGAAGGTTTTGGGCATGAAAAATTTGAGAAAGTTACCGGGTTAGAGGAATACGACGAGGTGATGATGAAATTACAGTATCGCCATCTRKCCAGCAAAAAATGAGCAAAAAMAAAATATATATAAATATTGTTCACAAAGAAGTATTATAACCTTAATAGAAATATGTACAGAGATAATATATAAATTAATAAATAAAAAAGGTACAATATATAAGAAAATAGTAATTTTTCATCCTCATTTTTTAAATATAAAATAGTTGAATACCTTCCGGGCTATTTTTTTTCCCTGGACAACGACGGGTAATTCAGCTATCTATTTATATGTATAAAAATATACTGCTAGCATAATCAAGGATTTTGTATTAATTGATTATATTAATTCACCGTTAGTGGAATTAAGTAAAAATGGAAACTCATATGTATATACATATAAATTTAGTWCATTTWACGGGCAACGAAGTGCACGAGATCAGCTAGTAACTTATAAAAATTAAAAAATGTTAGTTAAAAAATATCGAATTCTAAAAAAATCTATGAATATGCAATTATATGCATTATGTACAAAATATGCAAAAATATACAAAACAAAATTGGTCCTATTTAAACGAGAATAAGCCAAATCGTGGACAAATCTGACAACCAATCAATTTGGACTTAAGGAAAAAAGTATGCAAACGCACATAAATCCTAGCCCTAGTCATTACTCAATACTTATCCGACGTAGGTCCGTAGGCATAGATTACCTGTCTCAGTTTTAATTTTTATTTAACCACGGGATACGCCTGATGGTAATACARGCTGCATACAGCTATTTACCTTATAAATAAATTCTTGATACATATTAGATATATATATTATATTATATATTATATACTTAATATATTTGAATTTTAAAAATCAAAGCTAAGTTAACGCTGTCGTAAAATGTGTTTTATAGCACTGTCTTCGTTGTGAGGTGTGAGACTACTGTGACACGATAATCGACAATAGATACACCGAACGGCGCGAATAGATATTATATAGAAGAYGCCACACCGGGTGATGTGTAGATAAGAGAGCAATGCGTTCGACGATCTGTTCGAACGGTCGACGCGGGAGCAACACAGCGCAAAACGTTATGCGGTCGCGGACAAGAGATTACGCGGTTCTGTTACCTTTTTTTCCGAGGCAAATAATAGTGGACGCAGCTCCGCGCCCTTAGTCGAAGTCATTCAGACAAAATAACGCCATGCGGAGATACGTCACGGGTTACCTAGTTCGGTGATCGGTGGTAAGATGATCACTAGCTTTCTTCACCGCCCACCGACACTATGCAGAACGAAAACCATATCATAATAAAGTATCAAGTGTCATGAGTATCAGTTCCGCGGTACACCGGTACCACTTCTTTGATCCACATTTTGTTATTTTTTTTTACTTCATAT